ATTTCACATCAACTCACATCAGATGGAAACTAGTTTTGTTCAGCTCAGCCCTTATCCCTGCTTCCACCTGATGTTTCAGGTGGACCAACAAAAGTCCAAAGAAGGAAACTAACTAAAACTTGGAGGCTTATACAAAAAAGAAAAAAAAAAAAAAAAGGTAAGAAAAATAAGACAAAGGTGCTTGATCCGGCATTTCACTGTCAGGCGTTACTTCTTCCAGTAAAGGTAACAGGCTTTAACTTCATGGTGTCCTATATCACAACCCTAAAAGAAAAGTCATCTGGAAAGACAAAACAGCAGCAACAAGAAAGGACATGCTAAAATAGGCAAGGAATACACAAGAAAATAATCTCTGCCACAAAATCTTGTATTTTCTGAACTAGCTTAAGCAGTATCTCAAATGTTATCCCCGCATTTGGAAGCAAGTCAACACCAACACATTATCTAAAGAGAAGAATCTTCAGCTGCTACATTATTTCACCAGGGGAGAAACTCTGCCTTCCCGAAACCCTGACAGTGTGACAGACCAAAAGGAAGGTTTTACTTTAGTTATCTATGGCATCAAAACTCAACTCCAGAACTTACTATATCCCTCAAGAATGCTTAAGTATTCAAAGAAAACTGCATCAGGTGAGCCTTGTTATTCCAGAGGAGAATTATGAAGATCCATGCTTCTTCGTAAACACATAAAAAACACGGCAGAGAACAAGTCATTGGTTTGTTAATGATGTAGCTTAATGCACTGCTGCAGAGTGTCTATATGCTTGCTGAGAATTAACACAGCTATCACTAAACACATTCAGCCACTTGGAAACCGCTGCCACTGGCAGCCTGCTGTACAGGAAAGATTCCTCAGCTGTCAGCTCCCCCCCAACATAACAAACATCTCTGTTTCTTTTTAAAATCACTGCTGATCCATGTACCTAAAATTATCTTCTCCTTATAAATAACATTCTATAATACAAGCAGCTGAGTCGGTTGTTCCTCAGGGGTAGTAATTTGATGGCTTTTTCTATTTCAGACTACAGGTCAATTCACAATTTGTTTGGTCAGTACCTCTACTATATAACGCTGAGCGTTAGCCAAAAAGCTCTCTGCCATCCCTTTGGGGTATGGGCTTCTGACTAAGAGACAGAGGTTATATAATAAAACAGTACAGATTTTTTAAAAATAAAATTCTAGGTCCAGTCCAAGAAGAAACTGGAATTAATTTTGATAGCACTGACAGAGGAACCAGCACTCTGTTAACTTTTGCAAAGCAAGGCTCACTTCTTTTGCAGGTATATTTTGAAAACTGAGACCCATTAATACACTACCAACTTCTTCAGAAATGAGGATCATCCAGGGCCTCATCTGGGGTTTTTTAAAAGAAAATAATTAAAAGAAATAAGCTTCATTTGAATGACAGTTGTGGATTCCTCTTTTCTTCTACATCTAAAAGAAGCTACCTTTAAACAGAAGAAATCAAGGGTCTCCAGTGTCAGAAGTTTGTCAATGTCACCTAGATGCATTTCCTCATTCTCTGCTGATGCCACCAGTTATTAACAATGTATCTGGATTACAAAACAAGTGGAGTGTGACGATTTGCTGTTGTTTTTATACATAATGACACGTACTAAGTAATTGGCCCAGTCAGTGCTTTTGTATTTTTGAAAATTAACTGGCTACTCAATGCCAAACCTGGGCTCCTGCCTTGGACCCACAACAGGCCAGAATATATTGCAAAATATGCTTAAATCCTGCACACAGAATTGTAAAGTGTGTTATGTCAAACACCTTTGATAACTTTGGGGGGTGGTGGATACCACCTCCTGCGTGATAACTAGCTCAGCATCCTTAGCAGGGTAACAGCTCTGTTGCTGTGTTGGGTTGGCAGGGGGGGAAAGCCACCTTTTTTTTGGTAGTGGGGGGAAGGGCCACCTTGTGAGGGGAAAAAGCTCCCCTGGCTCCAAGCCAGAGACCTCCCAAGCCCAGGCTGGGCCAATGAGCACTAGAGAAACGCCTCTGGAATCCATATTGGTGAGGGGAAGGACTGTCCTGAAAAGAAGAAGGTGGGGGTGAACCTGGAGGAGAGGCCGTTGACCTAACAAAATACAACCATCGGCCAAAATAAAAAACAGTCAGACACAGAGAGAGCTTCGTTGCCAGAGGAAAAGACAGAGAGCCACACCCAGTTCACCGGATGGTGAACAGCAGCCCGTGGGTGTCCCCATGCCAGAGCTGGGAGTTGAGCCCAAAGAGGTCCGTGTCTTGTTCCTGGACTTTCATACCAGGAAGAGCAGCAGAAGGTGAACTGACTGAACCCCCATTCCCTGCCCCCTGTGCCACTGGCAGGGAAAGTGGAGAAATGGGGAGCAAAGTGATTTGAGCCCAGGAAGAAGGGAGGGGTGGGGGGAAGGTGTTGTAAGATGTGGTTGTTATGTCTCATTGCATTACTTAGATGAATGGCAACAAATTAAATTGATTTTTCTTCCTCAAGTTGAGTCTGTTTTGCCCGTGACCATCACTGGTGAGTGAGCCGTCCCTGTCCTTCATTCCTAATCCTGTGCCCCCTTTGTTGTGTCTCCCATCACATCTCACCGGGTGGGGGGAGTGAGTGCAGGACCACATGGTCCCACTGTGGGTCAAATTGCCACAGTTGCTCAAAAGATTTTTCTCTTCTTCAAGGCCTGTTCTCCCACTATTTCTAGCCACAACAACATGAAGCTGTAGCTTCTAGTTCAACACTTTGCTCAGCTTAGACAGCTGGACAGAATCTGCAACACTCTAGGAAAACTTCACCTCCTCTCCCAGAAAAAGATCGGACCGCAGCAGCTGAGATGTGTAGCCTCTGTAACAGGGCATGACAACTTGCTTGATCTGAAGATGAATATGAAAACACAAAATCTCCAACTTGTGTTAGATGTAACTGTTCACCTCTTCCACAAATCAGGTTTTGTGCTTCAGCCTTACAATGGGGCACTGATATCTTGACCAAAATTAACACAACTGAAAAATGCATCAGCTACGTTTAAAAGAGCACTTCAAATTGCAAGCCAACAGTATCGATCTCAGACAACAAGAAGCACGCAAGGACTCAGTGGAAGGGAAGACTCCAGGTTGGAAAAAGCTTCCTGAATCCTGATTCAGGTCACCTTCTTGGGGCAAAGCCAAATTTCTGCTTAATAAACTGTACTACCGTAATAAAAATTAGGAGTCCAGCTGCTTCTTGTTGTTCCACCAATCCCTAAACTTCCACTTAACTGCTTCTGACAAAAACATCATCTTCAGTTGAGCTTTTTTATAAGTGAAGTCCTATTTATTATCTTTTTTTGTTGTTTTTTTCCTTCTTTTTTCTTTTTTTTTAAGTGCTAGTGCCCCAGGGCTTCCAAATCCAGGCTGTTGATTTCAGGAAGACTGCCCAGAAAGTGCTGAGGATTCTGTATTACAAACAGTGCTATGCTCCCTTGCTTATATCCATCTCTTCAAGGGTATTCCCTTCTCAATAAATCACGAGTCCCATGAGCAAAGCAGTACCTCAAGCCACAAGCACAACTTGGTACCTCTCATCAGCAAGTGAAGGGGAGGAGACTGGACTTTTAAAAAACCTGTAATTTAAAATAAGTCATAAATGGCTAAATTCAATCGCAAAATGATACCCTGAGATGAGTTAAATCAGCTGCTGCTCTTTATGTTCTTGCTGCAAAACCCATGCTTCCACATCCCATTTGGCTTTACCAGGTGGTCAAGAATAAAAACATCTAAAAACTAATGAAACAAGCAGCACTGTATTAGTGAGTAAAGCAGTAACTCTCAAAACAATATTCTTAAATAGCCTCTTAAAAACACACTAAGAACTGCATCTGGCTTATCTAGAAAAGAAATTACACAACTTCCTAATAAAAAGCAATTAAAGGTAATTTAAACATTGTGATTAATGGACACTAGGAGTAACAGAATTTGAAAGTACTTTCTAAGGACAGACCTGGAAAAGGAGAAAGTAATAAGTAACATTAAAAAAAAAAAAACCACCTCATTTAGCCTTAGATTTTTTAAACTATATTCAATTCAAGATACTACGAAAGAACTGGAAAAACAAACAGCTTTATTGATGTCCCCAGCCATTACATATTTTTGTTAAAGGTGATATAATTTAATTCAAGCCATTCCAATTGCCAAATAACATTCACTAGTAGAAAAGGGTTTCTTCAGCTCTCTCAAAAACTTCTTCTCAGTTCTCCAGGTCTCATGTGCTCCAGGTGCCCTACAATCTGTGGGGTCTGAGAGTGAAGTGTTTTCCTGGTGGGCTGTACCGGTAACCGAAGCAGACAGTAGAAGCTGGAGAAGGTTTGGCATGGTGAGAGACTTTCAGTGCATGAGATGCCTGACACGCAGCTGTGAGCCTCCTCAAAGAGTTGATGCTTCAGAATCGCCCTTTACCAAGCAAATGCCACAAAAGCACAAATCAACAGGCTAGTGCAGGATGGTGTGGACAAGTTCTGCCCATCATCACTTAACAGGAAAAGGAGTCAGAAAACAATATTGTTTTTCAACTCAGAGAATACTCAGCTGTACTCAAGAGACACCCAAGAGCAAGCAGCAACATGGAACAAATAGCAAGCAAATGTTGTGGTCCTAGTGCCTCCTGTCTACCTCAAACCACCATAAAAAAACAGTTGTTTCTGTCACCAGAAGACAGAAATGTTTAGCAACAGTTTGTTAAATGCTTTTACAACTAGAGAAGAGATTGGATGCTTGCCATAGTCCACTGTCTCTGTCCCAAGTACCTCAGAGAGGCAAAAGCACACAGCAATATTGTCAAAGTATTTTTCTAGTTTTTAGAGTGCACTTTTGCATGAAACTTAGCATTTTTACAACTAGTTTTAAACAAATAGGGTACTATAAATAAAAACTATAATAAGTAATAAATAAAAGCATCCACCATCATATATGGTTTGTATATGACCAATGTAAAGTCTGAGATACAACAAAAATGGCTTATAGAGACCCAGCATGCTTACCTCTGTATTTGGCTGTAGTGCTTGTCCATCCTGGGCTGCAGATGGTACTATAGCCCATGTAATGTTGGCACTAGCAGATGATAAGGAGCTGAGGGCACCATTTTTCAGTTGCTCTGTGGACTGTGACTTGGGCCCAGGCCATCCCAGGATAACTTCTGGAACAGAAAATGGGTGTCAATTTACAAGAGACAGATTACAGATTTCTTCCATTCATCTCATCATTCTACTAATATAAATGAACTGCTATCTTTTCTCTGCTTCCATGCACAGTTTTATTTTAGTAATAAAAATACTCTAGTATCTTCTATACCAATTTATCTGTGATAAATATTTTTTTTTAAAAGTCAATGAAGGAAAACTTTAAAATATTACTTCTACCACCAGACATAATTGTTACACACAAAGATTATACAATCTGGTACATCTTGGAAATTAAGCAAGTGTTCTCTATCCAGCATTTTAATAGTTATGAAGTTATCCAAGTAAACATTCTTGACACAGTGCAGGTGTTTGTCACATTGTATAAACATGGATTAGTACCAGAAGGGTGACGAATAATCTAGCTTTTGCATTAGATCCCAATCCAAAGACTAGTTCAGGTAATATGCTCCCCATCCCTCCACTTCTTCTGCCTGAGGTAGGAGTTTAAATCTTAGCAGCTATATTTTACTTCTGTCTGTACTGTTAAAAGCTCTTGCTAGATTAAGTGCTAAAATGCTTTACTGGTCCTAAGACACAGTTTAGTAGAGGTCTTATTAGACAGGTACACGTTAACTATGAATCAAATAGAACTAGACATCAGAACAACCCTTATTTCTGGGGGCACCGGATTTCCAGGATGGGCCAGTATATAAGGATGCCAAGACAGAAAGACCGATCAGCTAAGGTGACTGCAGAGTTGTTCCTCCCTTACTGCTCTAATACACAGTACCAACATTCAAATCAGCAGCCCTCAGTATAGGGTTTAAATGTCAGCTATTAATTACACACTGCTATAAAATGCAGAGATATGGATAATAAAATTACAGCTCTTCAGTCATTACCATAATTCGTATATGAAAATACAATTAGTGCCACAGGGAGGATCTTTTTCTCTCATGACTGACAACTTTTAAAGATTACTCAAATCAACACAAAGTACATTAAAGAACATGCAATTTCTCCTCTCCTTATCACCAGAGATTTCCAGAGGTTCCCTCCTAATTAAAGTCAATGGTTTGACCTGGTGAGGTAATGCTGTGTACTATTATATTAACACTTATATTATTAAAAAATGGGCAACAAAACTTATAGCTGATCTCTTAACAAATTTTAAAGATAAAGTAATTACAGAACATTCTTCTCATCTAAAATGGCACCAAGTTACAATGACAAAACTCCAGGTATACTTGCTTAGTGTGATTTTGAGGCACCATCTTTTACTGAAGAAAGCATAAGCAAATAGTTAAGTATAAAATTATTTTCAAAGATCTGAGTAACCAACAGGTAAAAAAAAAAACCTAGCTTTTTTTTTTTTAATGTCTATTTCAGACAATAACTCAGATTTCCCATTGCCAAAGGAGGAAAATCTCTGTGGCTTTGCTGTCAGGAGACATACTGCAAAGCTTTGATGATGTTGAGGACTGTGCCAGTAGATGTTCTAAGTCCCAGCTGAATTAAGTGAACCCAAGTATCAAACAAAAGGTCGTTTTCTTGGATTGGCTATACACATTGGTCCTACACATCAGGAAGCCAACGTCTGTCCCCATTCCAAAGACGGAGTTAAATCAATGCATGATGTTGGTATAAATGGCAAGGAATGAAGAGCACAGTGACTGTAGTCACAGCCTCTCTGCTTGCCCCTCAGGTCTTGAGCAATTTGCTGCTAGGAACAAAAGACAACCCCAGAGCCCTCTAAACAAGCTCTGATCCAGAGGATAATGTGAAGATTGTTTTCACAGATCCAAAATGGACTCTCACTGCATGGGAGGAAGGAAACAGACCATCAGTATGAACAATAAAACTAAACCAGGAAATTTCAAATAAAAATGTTGGTTCCTTAGAAGAAATTCACATCTCTAAAATGGTAAAAAAATTTATTCTTTTTGATGTTAATTAGTACAGATTTCAAAGAGGAAAAAAAAGCAGTAAGTTAAAAAAAAACTTGTTTCACTTTTGTATAGCCACAGTTTTATGCAGCATGCCTCGGCTTCTCGCTCTTCATTACTTTGCAGTAACAAGTTTTGCTTCTCCCTGTCAAACAGCTGAATATTGGATTATTGCTGCTATTTTCCTATTACAAAAAGACTAAAAAAAAATTTGAACAGTCTTTGAAAATATTAGTCATCTGATAATTTCCTTGGGCTATCCATTTTCTCTCTGCACACACAATCTAATTGGTCTCCACTGTAAACGATTTTTTTAAAATTAATATATTTTTTTAAAATCCGATTTCTGTAAATAAGCCCAAGAAAAAGTTCCCACTTGAATAAATACCTCACTTCAGGGGAAATTTTTAAGTGTGAACATTTACTTTACCATCATTTACATACTTTTAAAAACACTATACTAGTTTTCCTCTTCAGTAAAAACACACTATGAAATTACTATTTACTTCATCTTTCTCTGCAAACCTTAGAGACTCTCAGAGAAACAGAGACTGTTAGAAATAGAGACTATGCAAGTATGTTTTTCCATCTGTCCCAAGGGCAATGCTACCCTTATAAAACAACAAATCTTGTCAGCTTAATCAATTTTTAAACAACACATCATGACCTAGCCAACACCAATAGGATGCCAAGAGTTAAGATCCAAAGCATAAAGCACATCTGCTTCCTCAACACCTCTGCATATGAGAAAAATTGTTTTGTTAAATTTTGTCTGCCAGGAACTTGACTACTTTGCAGAAGAGACCTATGCAGTGAAAGATATTAGTCACATGCCACAGAAACCTAAATAAAAAGTCAGCTCTCTGAACAAGCTGAAAAAATTCCATGCCTAGATTCAAAGTGCCATAGGGAACCTTTGACCACCTTTAATCTACAAACCTTACCCTGATATGTCAGCATTCTCATATCACTCTATATGGAGTTGCCACATACCTAAAATAGCAGCCTACTTTTCACGCAAAAGTGAAGTATGAAGAGAGGACTCATCAGAAATAATCTTAAAATCAACGAAGATCAGAACACAATCTCTATATAGAAAGTGAAATGACACAACAACATGGCTCCTACTTCACTCACATTATTAGTTGTACATCCAAAACATTCTCATCTGCACTAGTAGAAATGACTCTTACCACAGCAGTACAGGTTGTTATCTATCCCATAACAAATAGAATTGTTTTATTGGTGTTTATTCTCTGCAGACTGATCTGACATCTGTAAATAACCCTACTCACTCTAATGGAGTTGCCATCTTTGCCACTTCTATGGAACTCAAAATTTTCTACCATTAGTTCAATTTCTGTTCTTTTAAAGGATTCAAGAAGAAAAGAAAGATACAAAAACCAAATGTATTATGAGAAAGCAAGTTTATCTTCAGAGTTGGATAAGAACAGTCAAACAGTTTGTTTTTAGCCAAAGACAGCTGACAGAAAAAATAAATTCAATTCTTATTTTGATATATTTCATAATTCTGAAGAAATTCTCCAGAAAGACAATCACAAATTATATAAAAGCATTCACAGCTACACAGCTACTTTACTATTTGCTTTAAGACTATGCAAAGCACTACACTAATTAAAACAAAACATCTGTTTCTGCAGTCAACTATGCAAAAATTAGAAAGGACATACCAAACACACAACTAGCAAAATGAGCCAGATCTCTTCTGCCTGCATAGTGTCAGTTCTGTGTTTCCAGGAGTGAAAACCCAAGCCTGATTCCTCTGGAAGCTCAGTGGATATGTACACACAAAATGAGAGTTCTTCTAGAAAATATCTAACTTCTTTCCCACTTCCCTTCAACACCGATTGCCACTGTGACGAACATGCAGCAGACAAATCCACCAAGACATAGAAGAATGCTACTAAATGTTAAAAGTAGAGCATCTAGACACAAGCTACTCTTCTTTCCATATAGCAATGCTAGAGTTCCCAAAACTCCATCTATTTCAGATGGGGCAACAGGCTATATCCCACACAAATGCCCTCAGGAGAAACGTGTTTCCCTTTCACAGGTATGCACAGCAGGAGGGGGGGGAATTCTCCCCAAAGAGAAGGTTTACAGTAGATTTTTCAGTTAAGCAATGTTGATAATTTTCATTTGTTGGTTCTGATTTTTGAGGTACCTGATGTACCTTCAAACTATATTTCTGCATGAAATATGCTTAACACCTACCTCAATTCTATACCAAAAACCTTTCTATTTTTAAGTCCTCTGGTCTTGGTTTATAGACTAAAAAAACCATGTTTTTTTCTTGGCACAATTCAAGCTAACATCTATTGATAAAACTCTTACAATATTCTGTAACTACACTCTAACAAATATCCCCTTAACAATGCAACAGTAGACCCTGAGGAGAGACCAAGGTTGGATCTGTATTCCTCCCTGTGCCAGGGATGGATGCAAGGGTTTTGTCTCCACTGAATTCTACAGCAGGCTGAATCCGCAACAGCAAGTGGCAGCTGCACACGTGCTTTTCAGATGAGAAGACAGCGTTGTATTTGCTAATGCTGTGCAGGGACTAGAAAACATTATCTTCCAAAGAAAGAAAAACACGTAAGGAATAATGCATTAGCATTTGGATAGAACAGCAAATTGTTTTGGTTATTCTCAACAGAAGTAAGTCTAGTGATGCTGCACTGAAGGGAGACCTGACTGACCACGCCAAATTCAGTAACTTACACTAGTAACAAGGAATCGTTTTCTTTCCTCATCCTTCCCTGTCCACAAGCATTTGGGAGGAGGGGATGCATAGTGTTAAACAAGAAAGAGGACTTCTCTGCTCATTTTTCTCTCCTCCTGCCATCTAGCTGCAGGAGAATTCCTAGCTGCCATCTCTCACCAAATTGAAAGCATCTAGATTTTGCCTTTCTTTTTCCATTTATTTTCTCCAAAAAGGAGGCAACAGAGAATCTGCTAAAACAAAGCTCAAGTTCATCCTACCCCCAACTCCAAAATCATCTTCAATTCATTTGCTGCCAAGGAGCACTTGCACACTCAAATGAACT